GTCAGTCGGCTCGGCTCGGCAACAAGCGGCCACTCTGTTCGCGCCCTAAGGCATTTCGGAATATGCGCTCTCTGGGAAGACAATACCTGTAATTATTGTACCATGATGAGGTTGCATAAATTATTTTCTAGAGAGTAAAAACACTCATATTTCAAAATTGTTCTCTCTTTTATAAAGCGAATAACGAATGGATGGGAATGGATTGAGCCAAGAGCTTGTGTGAGCAAATGCAATTTTTGGCAACAAATGTCAGTTATACGCGATTTTGCAGAATGACGATACGCGATTTTTGTACTTTAAACGACGATATGTATTTATGTTTATCTGTATTCGTATGGAATAGTAGCTTATGTCAAAAGGCTGGCTTTCGTATAATTTGGCATTCGCAGCATACAATTGCGAATGACTCACTGGCGCCGAGACGTTGAAGAACTTTTGGCAAATCAATATTCTTATCTCAGTCTCACCAAAAAATTCCTCGTGGTTTTAAGAATAAAAGGAATGCCGCATTATACTAAAGTCAGCTACCGTTCCCAACGAACACAGATACGGTCGGTGCACTGTTTTATTAAAAGAAAAAAAATATACATTTTGAAAAATTTCGAGTTGTGACTGTTTTTGATTTCGTGTGCCAAAAGTTGGGAAATCCACTTAAACGGCAGTTATCCCACAAGACCGGATCAATTAATAATTCATATTTACTTCTAAAAACATAACAGATGGCACAGCTCTTTCTTATTCATAAGAAATCGGCAGTCACCGTGATTGTTCTTCTGCAGGCATAGTAACGATTTATTTAAAAAGCATTTGCAACGATGATTACGATATTTACATATTCAAATGTATGTATGTACACTTTTTTAAGTCTGGATCTACTCACAATGATTCTATGCAAATTTCTATGAATCATCCGTTCCTTTTATATGCGTCTTTGATCATTTTTATTACAATTAAACACGCCTTACTTTACCACAGACTTCTTTCATTCATATTATATGTAAAACGCTGACTAAATAATAGATCTTTGGGATAACTCTTGAATTCGCCACTTAACGTGCTGAGCAAATAACAGTTGTGACAAAATGGCGGGGGGGGGGCTTAAATACATAGTTAATAGTTGTGGGGCTTGGAATTCTTATTGGTGTGGAAATTTGCTAAAGAGGCACGTTTAAAGTTTTATAGACATAAATTGGTTGCATGTGTTGCGAGTTGCTTGGAAGGCACAATAACACTGGAAGTTGTGTACGAGTACAGTGAATAATAATAGTTTCTTTTTATACGAATATTGTTTTTGGCGCCTACCAGCAGGAGCTTGGAAAGCCGCCTCACGCCATGCCTACTCACCCACATCTGGTTGCTCCAAATGCTGCTGCTGCTGCTGCTGTTGTACTGGCTGCTGGTAAAGATTACCGGTATTTGTTGAGCGGTATACGTCCTCTTGGTTGCGTCGTGTGCCGTAAATAGCATCGCTGCCGGTCGAACGACCGGTTGTGACTGCCGTGGTGGATGCTGCAGCTGCGGCGGCGGCGGCAGCGGCGGCCTGTTTTTCGAACATGGATGCCTTCTGCAGCACCGATGCGCGTGAACGTTCATCATTCTCGACAATAGTTGGTGATTCTGTATCGATCGCGGCAGAAGTTAGATTCGTGGAATTCGTATGCTCTTCATCGGGCGTTTCGGTGGGTGTGGTTTGGGAGTTGTTGGTTGTTGTAGTATATTTTATAGAAGTGGTGTTTATGTTGTTACTGTCTGGCTGTTGTTGTTGCTGAGGATTGGTTTCGTTAGTGGGTGGTGCGACGATGGCGGCGGTTGCCGCTTGACCGCCATCAGTTTCGGTGATCTTTAAGACATCGCTGTCGACTGATGCTGTGCCACTTTGCGGGGGTGTCGGCGAGTTGACGTTATACACAAAGCCGCTCATCATTCCGCTCGTCACGCTACCGCCACTTGGTGTGCCGGCCGCTGTCGACGATGGCGAATTTGTCAGCAGCGGCGAGTAGTGGTTTTGTGGTGTTGAGCTGCCGCTCGAGGGTGTCGGTGTCTGGCCAACAAGTGGCGTGGTTACCGTGCCGGACTCTATGGAGGGATGCGAGTGCAAAGAGGGTGTGTTCGAGGACGCAGACGAAGACGAAACGGAATGTGAACGTGCCTTGCTGGCGTTGTTATTGCTGACACAAGCAGTGGCACCTTGATGCTGCTGTTGTTGTGACTGGTGGTGGTGACCCGATGCAAGCGAATCGTTGGAATACTGCGAGCAAATCGAATCGATGGAGTGTTGTTGTTGCAATGCACTAACGGGCCGCTGCTGCTGCTGCTGTTGTTGTTGTTGTTGTTGCTGCTGGTTAGTGATTTTCAGCGCAGCCATGTTGGCCAGCTCCGACATATTGACGTACGTCGGTGGCGATGGTGACTGCAGCTGGTGTTGTGGCAGCTGCGATTGTTGTTGCTGTTGCTGTTGCTGCAGCTGTTGTATTTGCTGCTGTTGCGCATGATGTGCTGAAAGCTCTGCTCGCAGCATTTGGTAATTCGGTTTTTGAATGAGTTTTTGTTTATTGTAAGACAATTGACACATTGAAAGCATGCGGAGGGCGGCGGTGGCGGCGGTGGCGGCGTAGCGTGTATGTTTGTATGTGTATTTTATTTGTATTTAGGAAGTGTAAAGCATAATAACGGGGAATAAAGAGCACAAAAACAGGATAATTAGTAAATTTGGATTGCTGGGAAATTAGCAAAACATGAAGGTCGACACGCAATCGGACGGGTCCGAAGAGGGGAGAGGAGATTCGGCGCTTACCTTTGGTTATGTGAGCCGGTATAGGTGATGG